TCGTAACCACTACGCTACCAGAGCTCCTTAGAGAGAAAGAGAGAGTCCTGGTGTGGTGCTGTGGGTTAATGTATAAGACTGCAAAGCTGTTTGAACTGCAAGGTTGGTGGTTCAAGCTCACCAGCTGCTCCTCAGAAACCCTATACAGGGTCGTTATGGGTTGGAACTGACTTGATAGCACTTAATAACAACAAGAACATATATGTATATATATACAGGGTCACTATGAGTTTGAATCAACAACAATAACTATTTCATATATATATATGATAGTGTAGTGGTTACAAATCGGGCTGTGAACCGCAAGGTCAGCAGTTCGAAACTACCAGCTGTTCCTCAGGAGAAAGATGATGCTTTCTGCTCCCATAAAGATTTACAGCCTGGGAAACCCTGTACAGGGCCACTATGAGTTGGAACTGACTCCACGACACATAACTACCACCACCATAGTTGGACCATTTGAATCTCCTTACCACCTGAAGTCCTGGTGTGGTGCTATGGGCTAATGCTTCAGACTGCAAACGTTTGAACTGCTAGGTTGGTGGTTCAACCTCACCAGCTGCTTCTTGGAAACCCTATACAGGGTCGCTATGGGTTGGAATCAACTCGACAGCACTTAACAACAACAACAATGTGTGTGTGTATCGGACTGCTAACCTCAAGGTCAGCAGTTTGAAGCTACCAGTTGTTCTGCAAAAGGAAGATGAGGCTTTCTACTCCCGTAAAGATTTACAGTCTCAGAAACCCTATACAGGGTCACTATGAGTCAAACTGACTCCTATATATTTGTGAGCGGAATCCTGGTATGGCACCATGGGCTAATACACTGAGCTGCAAAGTTGGTTTGAACCACAAAGTCGGCAGTTCCAGCTCACCAGCCGCTCCTTGGAAACCCTATACAGGGTTGCTATGGGTTGGAACCGACTCAGTGGAACTTAACAACAACATATATTTATGTGTGTATATGGAGTATGCGTAAGTCCTGGTGTGGCACTGTGTGTTAATGCGCTGGACTGCAAAATTGGTTTGATCTGAAATATCAGCAGTTCAAGCTCACTGGCTGCTCCTCGGAAACCCTATACAGTCACTATGGGTTGGAACCTACTCAACAGCACTTAACAACTACAACAATAACATGAAATGTGTATGTGATTCTACTGCCTACTTAAAACAAAACAAAATGATATTTTAAAAAGAGTGTTTGATGACATGTGCATATACTCACAAAGAGTTGAAATAATTTTAAAGCAGGCCACAACACAGTATTTAGTCTAATTCTGTTTGGAAGAGAAATGCAAAAGAATAGATGAGGAAATCTAATACTTTAACATTAGAATATAGGGCTGTTTTCTTTCTTTTCCCTTTCTAGCAGCTTATATAAATGTCTACAACAGTGAACTTGCATTTCTTTTATAATGAGAAAAAATTTTAAATTCATAAATGATACAATCCATGTTTACCTATTAAATATAATATTTTGAAGGAACAGCAATAGAGGCCACTAAGGTTTGCCAGTGACAGAGACAGAAGGAAGCTCAAATCAATCAGCTCATAGCCACCTTGTATAGCAGAGAGCTGCCCCATCGGGTTTCCAAGGTTGTAATCTTTATGGAAGCAAACTGCCACATGTTTCTCCCATAGGGCAGCTGGTGGGTTGAAACCACTGACCTTTTGGTTAGCAACCAAGTGCTTAGCCACTCTTGGAATAGGGCAATGCAATAGGAAACAGCCATTTGAAGCTCTGGGAGTTCAAGGAACTGTGGGGGCTCTGGTGTCAGGAGAACTAAAGAAGGCAGAGTGGTCTGGTAGGAGCTGGGGAGGGAAACAACAAAGACTTGCAGGCCAGAAAAAAAATCCTTGCTTCACCAGAAAAAAAACCAAGTCACTCAAAGCACTAAAATATAAGAAAACTCTAAATGTTCATGCTAGAAATTAAAGAGAATCTACATTCTTTCTCTCCTCTGTGTCCTAACAGATCATATAGTCTGAGCAGGAGAAAACAACCAAAATACATTTTTTAATGATTTTTTTTTTAAATGATCTTCTTAAATTTGTTTTGAGATTAACCTGGAGACATATTTTTAATTTTGTTCTTTATTTCTGCTCATTTTTCTTGCATTGTATTTGCTTTGTTCTGTTCTGTTTTTGTGGATGCGAATACACTACCTTCAGCAGAGGAAAGTCAGAAAGAATAGAAGCATTGAGTTCTTCCATCATTAAAATAGTTTCTATCAGTTGTACATCTGCCCAACTGAATTTGTTGCCAACAAGAAAGTCTTCTCCATGGTCTTTCAAAACCTACCGAAAGAAAAATAACAGACATTGAATAAAAGCAAAAGACTACTTTGCCTGGCTAAATAGTTATAAGAACGTGGAATCTTTTCTATACATCAGATCTACTGAAGAACTCCTTTCTTCATAATCTCCAGTGCTAGTGAGCATAGGATGAAACTGACACTCTAACACATTACTATGAACTGGCACAATCCTTGGGAATTTTTTTTTTTTTTTTCTTTAGCTCTACCCGTAAATATTTACAGCCTCAAAAACCCTATACAGGGTCACTATGAGTTGGAACCTACTCCACGGCACATAACCACCACCACCAACACACCAAGGTCTCTTGGGTGGTGAAGTGTTGGAATTCCCTGGAACTGGTAAAGTAAAACTTTACCTACCAGTTCAAAGAGTCACAAGACCACTCTTAGTTTGAGTCTGGTTGCTATGTTGTTGCTGTCATGTGCCATCATGTTGAGCCAACTCATAGACACCCCCTAGGACAGAGTAGAACTGCCCCATATGGTTTCCATTGCTATAATCTTTACAGAAGAAGACTGCCACATCTTTCTCTCATGGAGTGACAGGTACGTTCTGACAAATTTTCTATCAGCCAAGTGCTTAATCACAGCATCACCAGGGCTCCTTCTAGCTGCTGTATTGTTGTTAAGTGCCGTTAAGTCTGACTATAACAACCCACTATAGGGTTTCTGAGGACCATATGGTGAGTTGGAACTTCCAGCCTTGTGATTCAAACCAAACTTCCAGTCGAGTGCTTATTCTACATTGCCACACCATGACTCTTTTAGCTGCTATACCAAGAGTAAAAAAGTTACCAAAGAGCTATCTAAAGTCCAAACCTGAGCCACATTAAAAATCAATTTTTCACTCTTCAGTGAAACTAAAATACAAGTAAGTACCCAACTTATGATGTATTCAAGTTATGACAAACCACATTTAGCACACTCTGGGGTTTTGTGGGTTCTTTAAAAAATATTTTATTGTTAGTAATATGTACTATGTATATATTATTGTTTTATTTTGTACATATATTGTTTGTTTAAAATTATGAAGTAATTTTTTATATTGTTTTGTTTAAAATTATGAAGTAATTTAAGTACTATTTGATGGAGAATCTTTCAGAATTAAAAACAAAAATGAGTACATATGTACTATGTACTAAGGAGCTCTGGTAGCATAGTGGTTACGAATTGGGCTGCAAACCACAAGGTCAGCAGTTCGAAACTACCAGCTGTTCCTTGGGAGAAAGATGAGGCTTTCTGCTCCCGTAAAGATTTACAGCCCCGGAAACCCTGTACACTGTCGCTGTGAGTTGGTTGCGACTCCATGGCACATAACCACCACCACTATGTACTAAGGAGCATGGTGACTTCATATGATAAGCACTGGACTGCAAACCACAAGATCCATGGTTCTAGCCTGCCAGCTGCTCTGTGGGAGAGATGAAGCTTTCTGCTTCCATGAAGACATTTAAAAACAAGTCTTAGAAACCCTATAAGGGTCACTATGGTCGGAACCTACTTGACAGCAGTTAACAAGAACAACAACAACAATATGTACTATATATACAACATTGTAGTGTGTAATCTGCTGATGTTGTCATTGTCATGCCAACCTCCAAAGACAAATAAAGACTGAATTTATAAAGATACTGATAATAAAAGGAAATAATAATGAAAAAATAAACAAAACAAAAATTAGATATTTGACTTATTTCAGAACCAACTTTCAACAGAGTACTGGAACAAAATCGTAAGTCAGGAACTACCTGATAAAAATTTCTTAGGTGCAGCTTTAAGTAGAATATGCATAAAATATGTGTTAACCCCATAAATAGGCAATAAAGGTAAATTTAGTCACCACATCTTTTCCTGTGATACATAAAAGAATAAAAATTCTGAAAGGAAAAGACATCTGGAATAAGTGACTCCAGAGTGTACCTGTCAGGGTCAAATATGTATGTGTTAGATGATTCCTACTCAAGAGAAGTTCAGTACTAAAACTCACACAGCATGTAATGGGAGTTGCCTTCTATGAGGCAAAGGTAGCAGACATTGAATAAAAGCAAAAGACACAGAGTCAAAAACAAGAGAAAAATCTTTGAGAGCTGAAGGCACATAGGTCAAAGGGCATATGAATTTCAAAAAGGTACAAGCAAAAATTTTAGAAACAAAAAAAATATAAACACTGATATTTAGAACTCAGTAGAAAAGTTAAAAAGCAAATGCTGTATTTTTTTCATTCCAATTGTCTAATTCGCATTCTGTTTTGTTGAAGGCGCTGTAATCTTATCTGCTTTTTGTTCAGGAACCCTTTATTAACGTTTTGGTTCAAAAGCAGGAAAGCTCTACCACCGACTCTATCTTTTCAAATATTAACTCTTTAAATATTTTTATCGGCTACAAGAGACGTACACACCCTGGATCCCAGCAGCCTACCTTTTCAAAGACAGGTAAGTAGCGAGTTTTTGCCTTCTTCACAATTAATGCAATGTTCTCCTCTTTTTCCTCTGGGGGTTTGAAAGGAACCAATGCGATCATCATCATTAAATCTAGGGTGCCGTCGGTGTACATGTCAATCCTGAAAATACACCATGTGGCATTCAGAGAGGAAACTTTGAGTAAAGGCTTTTCTAATATGACACTTCTGTAGTATAAACACATGTTGGGGCCAGAGGAGAGTCTCAGTCATGATATTGCTCTGGGAAACACTTTAAGAGGTCACAGCTGGTTTTGTGGTTTCTAGAACTGCTTTTGTGGTCAAAACAAGACTATGTGATCTTGCTCTGCTGAGTGTAGAAAGAAAAGAAATTAGGGGGATGGGAAATGACTATGAACACATCATGGACTGATTTTCATCAGTGAAAGCTAAGAAGTTGTAATTTTCATGTTGTATCATAATGTGTTAAGTAAAAGATTAATAACTTGATTTGTATTTTTTAGGTGATATTACGGTAAAGTTATCTATTATGTGGGTATCAGATATTTGGGTAGGGGCAATTATGCTTGCCATAGGTATGATTTTAGGCTAATCACCTCTGGTTGAGACAAACGATCTTTTAGTCTCTCCCTTGAACTTCCACTCTCAGGAGAGACTTTTGAGACAGGTGATTGTGGTCTGGCAGGCATTCTGGATGGGCTTATTGAATAAAGTGAAGTATGAAAGAATCAATGAAAGTTCTAAGTTGAATTCTGCCACACACACAAAAATGGTTGGGTTATTACGACTTAAAAAACATCGAGCCTAATGAAATATACCCAAAGCGCACATCTATTAGCATGAGAACCTTTCCACTCATTTAGAGAAGAGACAATTTAGCAGATCTTCTGTTGGTTTGGTAACTGAGCAAGAAGTTTGCTTTCCTAATTATGGCAGCCAAATGGTTCTATTTCATTTACTTAAATTTTTTTCTATTATTTTTGTTGTTAAGTGCCGTCGAGTCTGTTCCGACCCATAGTGACCCTGTATAGGGTTTCTAATAAGCAGGTGTTGAGCTTGAACTGCCGACCTTGCAGTTTAAACGGCTTTGCAGTCTGGCGTATTAACCCACAGCGCCACACCAGGACTCCATTTATTGGCAGACACTAAAAAGAGTTTTGTTTGTTTTTTTTTCAAAAACCAACAATAATGGTAGATAACATCACTACTATGTATTGGCCTGCTGGTAAATTTATGCTCTGCAAGCTATGTGTCTTTGTATCCCCCACTATGTGCTGGTTGTTGTTGCTAAGTGTCATCGAGGCAGCTCCGACTCATAGTGACCCTGTATAGAGCTTCTGAGGAGCAGCTAGTGAGCTGCAACCGTTGACCTTGCAGTTCAAACAGCTTTGCAGTCTGGCGCGCGTTAACCTACAGCGCCACACCAGAACTCCTGCCTGATAAATTTAATTTAATGATCTTTAGTTTCTAACGTATATAAGAGTAATTTATTTTCATTGCCCTATCTGAATTGGAAATCATTTTTCTTTTATGTCAGATTGTCACTTAGTCCACTTACTTTAGTCTATTACAATTGATGCTAATCCAGAGAAAAGACTATTAATAAAGCTATTTATCACCTAGGACTGGTGTGGCCCACAGATAAAGCACAAGGTCAGCAGTTCCAACTCACCAGTTACTCCTTGGAAACCCTATACAAGATCACTATGAGGCAGAACGGACTCAATACTTAACGACAACAACAACAACATAGCTTGGGGCACACATCTTGGGAGAAAAAGTAAAAGGAAATGTTTAAAACACAGTTAAAGACATACATTAAAGCAATGAAAAAAACAGACTGTTTTTATGTTATTAGTACTTTTTTACATTGTTATCAAATAATTATTTTCATACACTCTTTTTGGGATTACAGGTTTGGAATAACTAGGTCTGTTTTAAAGATGGAAGCTAAACATAAACGACCATATAAGGTGCAACTGTTTGTCTATGTGTAGAAGAATGAAGAATGAGGAAAATTGATGATGCTTGGAATCAACTAATACAATGGACCAATGGAACAAGTAAACGTCTGTCACCTCAACTCTGAGACCAGAAGAACTAGATGGTGCCCAGCTACCACTATTAACTGCTCAGAAAGGCATCATATTAGAAGGTCCCAGATGGAGTGGGAGAAAATGTGAACCAAAACTTAATATCATATATTAAAAAAGGCCAGGCTTACTGATCAGAGGAACTCAAGACATGGCCCTCAACCACCCTTTAGGTCTGAAACAGAACTCACCTTCTTGGCTCAATTTTTAGCTAATCAGTAGATAGGTATATAGGGGGAATACCAACTGTTTCAAGAGGTAGTATATGATCAAGATCCAATGATAGTGAAAGAAGAAGTCCAAGGTGCATTGAAGGAATTGGCAAAGAACAAAGCACCAGGAATTGATGGGATGAAAATTGAAATCTTTCAAGAAAGTGAGGTGGCACAGGAGGCACTCACTCATCTATACCAAGAAACTTGGAAGACAACTATCTGGCCGACTGATTGGAAGAGATCCATATTCCTACACCTATGGAAGCAGTAGCTCAAAAGAGGGAACAAGTCCTTACAGCAAGAATCATTCCCACACCGTCCACACACAGAGTAGACAGGGATGGGCAACTTGGACATTGGCTACCCTAAATGGGGGTGGGGGGCTACAAAGGCAAGAAGTGACTGGCTTACAAGCTTTCAAGAGGGAACCTAGA